CACTTGTCATATCCGATATTAAAATGGAGAGTGATGCTTCACTGGACAAATTTTATCTTGTCCTACGAATTTTGATAAATTGCTATGGTGTTTTTTTCTTCCTTTCTATACGAAATTACACCGTTACATTGGATCGCATGTTATTATTGCACAGCTAAAATTAAGAAGACAATTATACAAGCATGAGGTTGAAACAAGAAGACAAATGTACCTCCCAATGATTGAGGGTCACCACACACACTGTTCACTGGCGGTTCTTACAGGGCTTTACCTCATTCGCAGGTTACTCATTGAGAGATGGGTGGCCCGTTTCATTAATTACTCCCTATGATACAGTTCGCAGGTGCAGATTCGGGTCCTTACGGGCCGGGTCCACTGGCCAGCATTTTCTGCTTCTGCGAGATCGCTCTATAATTATTTTACTCTTCAATTTATGTTCTTAATTTCTCCACTCTCATCGAGCTCGAGCGTGAGCTGAAGACGCTGATGACTGCGAGATTGCAGCAAGGGGCTGTAGGCTCGTAGCAGATCGGAGGTGATGCAAGGGTGAGATGCCAAAGAAAAGAAATAGAGATTTGACACCTGCGACTTTTGAGAGAGAGAAAAAAACTTAATTTTCTTTTTAATCTTTCAGATTAACTTTTTTTTGTTAATCTTTTCATTTTGGATCTCTAACTATTTTCCACAAGTAATTTTCTAAACCGTGGACGTGTTCTACATGAAAGAAAAATAAATATATAAAGAGAGAGAGAAAGACAAAAGTCAGACAACCATGACCTTATCTGGTTTGGTTTTCTGATTCAGTGAACCCAAAGCTAGACCAGGTAGCTTCTCACATAACCATCCACTGTTAAACACAAATGCTACGCGTATCTGTTGGCTCGGGCGAGTGAGCGAATGGGTAAGAGCACCAAGCTAATCCATGTCGTATTCTACGGTAATCTCATCTATCAAAGTTATGAAGAGTGAAGACTTTTATGGAAAATCAACTCAGTTTATCATTATGTTTTAAACTGTTTGTCTATATACACAAATTTAATTGTTTCCACACGTCTCTAAAATATAAATCGTTATCAAATCTATTCTTTCGTTCTTTGTCATATATTTTTATCAAATTGATAGAAATGTCGTTACGCAAGGAATTTAAATCTGATTTATTTATTCAAAAAGAATCAAATTTAACAAGGGGTGACAATTTTGATTTTTTTTTCAGTTTTTTTTAATAAATTAAATTAAGTTTGAGTTTCAGCGTATTTCTATAGGTTTGTATAAGATTATCTTTTAAAATAATATGTTAGAAAATGACTTAAAATATAAGATAAATTGAAAACAATTAAATTAATTATCACAAAAAAATAAAATGACGGGATAAATGAGAGATTAAACCTAAGCTACACAGAACAAATCAAGTTAATTCTCAATTTCCAACCCTTAAATTTAGCTTTCCCATCGTGTCGCATGACTGATAGGAGACCAATCAAACAGTAATCTAGAACAGAGAAAACAAAAAACAATAATAAAACATAAGATTTACATAATTCCGTAAATTGTATTGCTAAACTAGAAGTTTTTATTAGTATTTTTTAATTAATGGCTTCAAATATAATTGATATTGTTTTTATTTATAGAGTGAATAAATAGATTTATTAAAATCCTAACAAACTTATATATATGAGATAATATACTTAGGGATTGTCATTTGTCCCACTCCAACGGAGCCCCACCCCACCTCGCGTCAATTTTTCCTAGTCAATGTCGGGATTCCTTGCGTTGACTGAGGAACATGGTGGGGTGGGGCTCCTATGAGCGGAGACGGGGCGGAGATGGGATTTGCCTGCCCCACCCCGTTTGCTCAATTTCTTTTTTTTTTCATTAAAATTATAATTATACCCCATATAAAATCTATAATTAGTAACTTTTAGGGTTTATTTTACTATATAAATTATTATTTTTTTGCTATAATTTAAAATTTGATAGTAGAATTGGATAAAATGAGACGAAAATAAATAAATAAATTTTGCCCCGTTTGCCCTGTGGGGATCCCCACCCCATTGCCATCCCTAAATACACTTGACTCAATACACTGGCCCGATATACTATAGATATTTTGAGGGTTTTGTCTTCGAATTTTCATAAAAAATAGTGCCTTTTTGACCCTTATTCGATAGTTGATTAGTGAGACCGTCATTCTAATTTTGCGTAACGTTTTAAATTATGAATCATATTAACATCAGTTTCTATAATTTAACAATGATAATACTAAAACTTAATATGATGTTAAAACAAAATCAGCTATAGTTTTAGAGTTATTTTATAAGAACAATCAAATCTCACACTTAAACAAAAGAATATTTAAATTTTGATATCAACATTGGAAATAAAATCCTTGAAGCTTAACCAGATGATAAAAAACAATTTAAACCACTAGATCGTTTGTCCTGTAGCGTTGTTTCCTCTTTTACATTAATAAATACTATTTGAAAGGAAAGGCACGAACCGGTCCAGTCTATTTCTCAAATAAGACGCTTGGACTAAATTTTTAAGTGTCCGCGAGCCGATTCCCTGATAAGATTTAGATTGCTTCTTACTAATTAAAGTAAATGCAAACCTGGATTAAAAAAATAAATCAATTCAAAGCAAAATTTTCCTTTATTAGATTGATAGACACCCAGTATCCAATGAGAAGGCGAAAGTGGGAAGCCATGTGATTGTAGGGGAACCAAATCCTTCCGCATGATTCAAATAACAGAATGTACTTTTGCTTCTGTTCTGTTGTGCACACACCTTACATGCAGCCAGCGTTTCCCTCTCCTTCAATTCGATTTCTGCTCACAAGTCACAACTTCAAAAGAAAAATTTTCTTCCTCAATTGGTTTCACTTATATCCCTTTCTTCGGCATTAAATCCAAAATATTCCTTAAAGAGATAATCGTGGTCGCCAAATTTTATAAAACAATTTCTTTAATCAGTTATGAGTTAATTATCCCGTTTCACAAGTAAGAGATTTTAGTGCAAGAAATTCGTGATAAAAAGATTTGTGAATGAAATTATTTTAATTTTAGAGTGTGTTTCTTTCAGATAAATAAAATATCTTATAGAATAAATTTTATAGGAAAACGGTGGTGATCATAATGTAATGCGGCTATAACAAGTTGATAATAATAAAATGATGGTTGACGTGGTAAAATAATAGAGATATAATGATGATTGAAATAATTTAATAATGTTATAAGTTATTTATTTTTCTAAAAATAGTTTATAAAATTTTCATTTTTTTTTTTTAACAAATGAACTATGTTTACAAATTGAATACAAGATATTACATTGACTAGTTTTATTGTCAAACATGCTACTGCAAAACAAATAAAAAAAGGGATTTTTTTTTATAAAATATTTTATATAAAAGATACTAAAATGTCAATATCCTCATCCCATGTACACTTTAACAGCATTGATTCAATGGAAATTACAATTGAGGACATCTTTGTCCCCATTTCAATGCATATTCACATTACACATGTTCTGTTCAAACCACACAAATAGTCGTGTACAAATTTCCTCCGCTAAATGAATTTAACGATTCTTAAATTTTAATTAATTTGAAGTCGAGTTTTTTAATTTTAAAATTATTTTTGAAAATCTTTGAATTTTAAATTATTTTGAATTTTTTTAAATATAATTTCTCACTCTGTTTTGCTTTAGCAGCAACTAAGGACGATGCTTTTTTAGTTTTTGTATTTCTAATCCAATTATAATTTAATATCTTGTAAAACTATAACTTAATTCCTCGATCCGTATTTATATTTTTTTATCACTCACAATTCTTTTAGTTTTTATTTGTTTTTCAACAGTGGTAACTGCCTCTCTTATTCAATTATACCCCCGTGGGTTGTCAATCGCTGGGTGGCTCTACCACGTTCTTGTGTTATGTAGTTTCCGGATTTTTAGAGTTTTAGCCCCCTCCGTACAAAAAAAAAAAAAAAACAAGTCCAACATAACGATATAAAAATAAACAAACTCCTTATTACTACCAAACAATCAGATTAGACACGGGTTTTTTTTTTTTTTTAACCCCTAACTCCCCTAACAAAATTCAATGTGAGCTTAGCGGACAATAGCTGCTCGGTAAGTTTTCTGACACATTTATTCTTCTCATTTTCTCTTTGATGCTATATTTTATTACATCTTCGTGGAAGTTTCTTATTTAAAACATTATACTAAAGTAAATTAGAGTCTTCTGGGCAGGAACTTCGTTTCAGGATGGATCTATTGTGACAAATGAATTCCAGCTCTCGTCTAGAGCTTGAGCAGCATATAGGACTGAATCTCATCGTACAATTTGTGTCAACTTTTCAGCATTATGCGACACATGATAGCTCCCCAACTCAAACTCTTTTCAGTCCCCAAATCAGGAAGCTCATGGCTTTTCCATGGGCATTAAGTAACTAATTAATTGCTTATTGTGACCAATTTTTATAAAACTGGTGAGTAACAATTTTTTCCTTCACAGCATAGCACTATTAGATGGAAGTATGTAAACTTGCAGTGTAGTAATTAGAGTAAGAGCGTCATTCGCATCATTAATATGACCTAACAAAATAAATATAACATTACAATTAACTAAAATACTCGTTACATTATATCTATATTGTCGGGTTTAAGGATCAGATCATATGAACATCGTATAAATGTACCGGTCTAAGTCTAAATATCCTGCTTAAATGCTGATTCGATGATATTTTATTATCAATATCTAAAAAATGACATTAAGGGTCTTTTTGTGAAAAAAAAATCTTAGCTGACGCTTTTTAATTTCTCTTTTTATCATTATCTTTGATCCAACCCTTAAAAAATAAAAAGGGCATATTCATAAAACCTGACATCTCACTCCACCATCCTCTATAAAACACCCACACCTAACCAACTACATTCCTTAGATAAGAACCCACTTAACGCACCACCAACACTAGACGCTAAACACAGACGCTCTTCTCTTTCCAATGGACAAACACATAGCAGAGCCATGGCGACCCGACCCGGTCCATTTCCTGCCACCGGAAACACCACGCGAGCCGATGGAGTTTCTTTCACGTTCATGGAGTGTGTCAGCTTTAGAGGTATCAAAAGCCCTGGCTCCACCACAAATGGTTTTCTCTAGCAAGACCAACCCATGCGGTACTGGTAGTATGATACAGGAGGATATTATTGGAGAGTTAGAAGAGAGTGGTGCTACTGTTTCTGGAAACCCATTTTCTTTTGCTTCCTCTGAGACTTCCCAGATGGTCATGGAAAGAATCATGTCCCAGTCGGTGAGTTTATTTTTTTTATATATATCATACAAAACACACGCAGAGAGAGAGAGAGAAAGAATAAAGACAATTTGTGAGATTTCTTTCTTTTTCTTTTTGGCCTTCTTTGTGTCTTTGTTTTCGTCTCTCTTAATAATATACTAATTCTCTAGCTTTGTCCTTTTTGACTCTTTGGTTTAGTTTTATTTTGTAGAAATCTTGTTTCTTCTTCGGTGTTTGTTTGCTTCCCTTTCTGTTTTCTGATCGAACCAATTTCCAAAAATTTATTTCTATAACTCTGCTTAGTTCTCTTTTTCGGAGAAATCGAAGTATGATCTTGTTTTGAGGCATACATACACTCCATTGTCACTCTTCTTTTTTCGGTTTCTCTTTCGTTCAAAATCCATAACACGCCCCACTAACAATTTACAATAATTTCTTTACCCACTCTTGAAACGCAAGCAAAGATTGTCTCTTCTTCGCTGTCACTACTCTCTAGTACTGTTATTACTTTTATTTCTGTCAAAAAATTTAACACCCATATTTTTGCTTTATTTTATTAATTTCTGGGCTCCATCAATGCAGCAGGAGGTATCTCCCCGCACTTCAGGCAGACTCTCTCATAGCAGTGGACCTCTCAATGGTTCCTTAACGGACAGCCCTCCTGTTTCTCCATCTGAAATGGATGATGTCAAGGTGATTTTTTTAAAGTTGGCCGGAGCTAATTAATATTATGAAATTTATTGCTATTTTTTTTGGTAATTTTAAGTAAATACACTTGGTGTCTTTGTTTGTGTTTGTTTATGCTGTCTTTTTTGGTACGAAGCACGATTTCTGTTCCACTGACTTTAGACCCCCCATGAAACATATCTCAGGCTTTCTCTGTAACCAATGCTACTTAATTACACCCAGAGATAGAGAGAGAAAGAGAGAATATCTAATGTTTTGTTTTTCTTTTTAAAAATAAAAAAAGCTGTAATACTGTTGTTTCATGTCTCATGTATTATTATTATACTTTGCTTTGTTCCAAAGAAAACTACTGCCTTTTTTTCTTTTTTTAAAAAAAGAGATTGTTTCTTTTCTCTGTAAAACCAACAGCTTGAGGTAGCTAAAATGGAGCATGATGATAATCGCCTTTCTTTCCTTGTCTTTTTTTAGCAAAAATGTCAAAACTACCATCGTTAGGGATGTGGGCAAATTGTATAATGACCTATATGTCCCTGTCTCATGAGATTCAATCATCTTCTTTGCTGGTTGTTTTTAGAAAGCGCGGGTATGAGCTGGTCCCCTAGTGAATGAATTAAGATTAGTTACGATACATAATAAACACAACAGCTCATTTATGGTGTATGGACCCAAAGTTTATTTGAAAACGTCCTTACAACCCACCACCGTAATTAAAATTTAGATAATCACTGATGTCTCTATGATCTGATTAACTATTAGCCATCAAATTTACTTGCTGCATTAATGTTACAGAAACTACCATATTCGGAACCCATTTTTTAGGTTAACAATATTCCTAAAACAATGAAGGAAGATATGAGTTAATGATCGATCCATATGTATTCTTCTTGCCAGTATTGTCGATCCAACAATCCCCACAATACACAGTTCCGTACACCTGCGGTCACTCCTGGTGGCACTGCCTTCACGGCTGCAGCCGCAGGTGGTGGTGGTAAGACGGTTGGTAGGTGGTTGAAGGACAGGAGGGAGAAGAAAAAGGAGGAGACTCGAGCCCATAATGCGCAGCTCCATGCTGCGATATCTGTGGCAGGGGTTGCTGCTGCCATTGCTGCAATTGCGGCTGCAACAGCTGCTTCCTCGGGAGCTGGGAAAGATGAGCAAATGGCAAAGACTGACATGGCGGTGGCATCCGCCGCAACATTGGTGGCTGCACAATGCGTGGAGGCGGCGGAGGCCATGGGGGCAGAGCGTGAGCACCTTGCATCTGTTGTGAACTCTGCTGTGAATGTGCGGTCTGCTGGTGATATCATGACATTAACTGCTGCTGCCGCAACAGGTATGTTTGAATTTTTTTCCCCCTAATGTTAATTAATTCTGTTTATCATAATGGATAAATGCAAATTATACATGATCTGTGGGCATTTATGGAGGATAATTTAATGGAAATGATGTGATTTTTGCAGCCTTACGTGGTGCAGCAACGTTGAAGGCGAGGGCATTGAAGGAAGTCTGGAATATTGCAGCTGTCATTCCTGTTGACAAAGGAGTAGGTGTAGCTGTTGCAAATGCCAGTAATGGCAGCTCTAATGGTAGTTTCAGTGGTGAACTCGTGCCTGAAGAGAACTTCCTAGGCATCTGCAGCAGGGAATTGCTTGCCAGAGGTTGTGAGCTCCTCAAGCGCACTCGCAAAGGTGATTATTACTACGTTGTTCCAATTAACAATTGTTTTGCATATTTAGTTTCCTAGCTTTTTTTTTTTTTTTTAAATCTATTTCTTTCCCCAGATTGAATGGAAATTGGAACTTTTCTAAAGAATATGTCAATTAGCTGTACTTGACGGAGACACTTTGCATCATGATTTCTGCAGTTTATTTTTTATGATGATTAGCAATTCCTTATCAAGGTCTTGTTTGGCCAGTATTCTCCTCATTCAGTTCATTTAGAATTTGGTTCACAAGAAATATTGGCCCTTTAATCCATTTGTTATTTGGATTGTGTTGAAGTTCAATGACACACTAAAATTAGGTGACAATAGAGTGAATGTGGATTTTGGAACAAAAATTGATACTTGGTGTTGGGAGGAGTGTTTTGATTAGGTTGTTGTGATCAATGCAGGTGACCTTCACTGGAAGATAGTTTCTGTTTATATCAACAGAATGAATCAGGTAATTAGAGCTTCTATTCCAGACCAATATTTCTGCTAATTATTGTTTTGGAATATCAAATCATCGAATTATTAGGGCATGATGAGTGAATCTGCCGAGGTAAAAAGGGATCAGTGCCAAAGTTAAAGATGATCAAATGATGAAATAGATGGAACCACTTTCTTTATTCTGCGCTTACCACCTTTAACTTTTGAAACTTCTTTTTTGTGCAGGTTATGCTGAAGATGAAGAGCAAACATGTAGCTGGGACCATAACAAAAAAGAAAAAGAGTAAGTATTATTGCTTTTGTCTTTCTCTAATAATGTGAAAACAGTATAGGAGGGTGGGGGCTTTTCCGTTTTGGGGATTTGAGAAAGTTCAATTGGCACTAAAGTTTTAAAGATCGAAAGGGAATGTCTTTATATTCACTACCTCCTTTTGAATTTACAGATGTGGTGCTGGAGGTGATCAAAGATGTGCCTGCTTGGCCAGGCCGCCACTTGCTAGAGGGAGGTGAGCATCGACGGTATTTTGGTTTGAAGACTTTGCAGCGGGGTGTTGTCGAATTCGAGTGCATGAACCAGAAGGAATATGATCTCTGGACTCAAGGTGTCTCAAGACTCCTCTCCATTGCAGCAGAAAAGTTCTTAAGACATAGAGTGTGACTTTCCTTGGAGAATTAGGTTCCCAATGAAATGGAGAAATGAGGGGATATAGGATTTTTATTATTATATATATATATGGCCCAGGGGAACATGCTAAAGCTTTTTGAAATTTGGTTGGGCTATATTTTTGGTGTTCCTAAATTGTAAAGAACGAGGAATTTAAAGATAGCTTGTCCATGTGGGTCTCTCTCTGGGGTCTGTAGGGAATATAGTTTGGGCCGTTGTTTTTGAATCTGAACTGGACGAAAGAAAAAAGCAAAGAGTGGTGAATCAAAAGTAAACCATGTGATTCCAAGTCTTTGTGTGTCTCACTGTGGAGGGAAAAACAAAAGGAGTATCTTCGACTAGGGTGGTCAAAAGAGAAGGAATCCAATTTCGATTATGGAATGATAAATGGAAGATAAACTCAAGACACGGCCAGAACGATTGTGTGTGCTTCATGTCATGTGGGCTTTGTTTCTGTCTCTCTGATTTGTTTAATCAACGTAGTACTAGCTAGTGTTTTTCGTCATGGTGGAGGCCATGATTGTCTTCATTAGGGTTGCCTCCACTTTATCCAATAATTGTGTTTGGATTAAGTGAATTAAGAGTTTTAACTACATTTTAATTAATGTATTGCTTTGTTTGGAGGAACAAGCGAACAGCATGGCAATCGAAGTTTTCAGTTATATCTTTTTTTATTTACCAATCATTACAGTCTAACAATTGGCCCTTGGAGGCTTGCACTACAAATGGAAGGTAGTTCTCCCATTTGAACAACCTCTACTGCCTTGTGTATGGACAGAATTGTGATATCTAATATCAGTTTGCGTGTACAGCACCAGTGTGGATTTATTGAAATTTATATTTGGGTAGCTTTATATTCTTGATACAATTGTTTGATAAAATTTTCATTGATTTTACCATAATGGAAAACCTATAGGAAGTGGGATACATATATATCACGTGATGTTGTCCCTAAACAGGAACTTCTAATTATGATCAAGACATGTTTTCTGTCTTAGACCGCACTTCCTCTAGTCAAGTCCATGAAGGCACTGTTTTCATAGTTAAGTGATTTAAAATATTTAAATCACTTCGTAAACATTAAAGTTATCCATACCAAAACTAGGGATTCTTTATGTATTGTTTCGTCGTTGCCGGGCCCTAAGAAATTAGCAAGATTTGAATCCATGTCATGTATCATCTACTACATGTGTTCCACTCAATTAATCTTTCGGTTGTTTTTTCCTCCGCCACTAGGGATGACAATTTATCCCATCTCAACGAGCCTTGATCCTTTCCCATTCTGGTTAATATAGGCATTTCTCAAATTGATTGGGGAACGAGATGGGGCGTCTTGTCCTACGTTGATTTTGAATGGAGATAGGGCAAGGATAGTATTTGCTCACCCCATCTTGTCTTTTTTGTAAAAAATTATAATTATATTTAACATATATATAAACTCTAAGGTTACAAACTAATCTCCAATATAATAAATGAGTTTTGATGATCTCTATGTGAAAAATATTCCTATAGTGTGGCTTATGTGTCATGTTTTGTTTTAAACCTATAAGTGATAATTTAAAGACTTAGAGCCTAATGGACTTTAGTGGTGGGCTAAGCACATCCATGATGGATGGATGCGTAAAATTAGGTTAAAAGAAAGAGTCCATGGTCTAGCCATATAAATAGTAGTAAAACATGTGTTTTCCATCAACATACATAACCCTAAAGTATTGGTATAGACTAGAAGACTCTCTCTTCTTTACGGTTCTAGTTTTTTTTCAGCAATATCTTGAGCACTTAATCAATCATGGCAGGGAGGTATGTATCCTATTAATTTCCGTTGCGCTTATATGCTTAGGCATATTTAATTATCTTCTATGTGGTATCAAAACCTTCTTCTCTCTAGATTGATTAGTGTTAATAAAAATTTATTAATTGTATTTATTGAGGACCTACTATGATTTCTATAAAAAAATCATATATCATGGTATGGTTATAGAATTGAAATCTTTAAGTCAAATACAAATATAGCATGCACATGCACAAGGGACAAAGTTGATGTAAAAAGTATTATGTCCTTGTGTACTTAATTTCACAAGTACACTTGCTTGCCTTTTTTTATTTTTTATCAACATGTCTCGAATTTTTCTTTCCCTTACCCTTCGGTGCGAATTTGGCCTAAGTTATACCTACTTTATATATACAAGACATGAAATGAAGATTGTTAGGAAGTTTACAATTCAACTTGGACTCTTTCCAAGATCTAGTTGTTTGCACGCATCTTCTTAATACCTACTTAGAATATAAAAACCGAAAGATGTCAAGGTGGGTTACTATCCGAAAAAGGTTTATATGATGTATACTTGTTAACTTCGAATAATTATTATGCACATACGATATATATTTTGCATTGATTCAATTGTTTACTTGTAAATAATTTTTTAAAATTTTTTCACGCTTATATTATAGGCTTTGTTAGTATAAGTTAAAAAAAATTACTAAATATAATAATAAATAAATACTGAAATGGTTTATATTAGTATTTTGATATGTCAATATAGAGTTATGAGTTGATATTAAAGCATGCTATGTTGAGATGGTGATGTCAATTGGCTTAGGAATAACCACAACATCTTAAGTTATTTTGATGACCACATTAAAGTTTATTAAATTAATATGCTCATAAAGTACATAGTTTAATTTGTAATTATTTTATAAAAATAATGACTTGGCCCTATAGGGGGTTGCTATTTTTATGATTTAATTGGAATAAGATAATAAATTCATATTAAGAATGGATTTTATTATAGGCCCTCGAGTGTGAATATTTTTTATTCTTGATATTTTATTTATTAGTCTTATTATTAAAGAATTAGTGAATTCTATGTATGATGCAACTTCTAACCATAGGAAGGTTAGAATTTACTATTACATTAACATTGGTTAATTTAACTAAAGTATGTTTTCATAGTATTAAAGTCTTTTCTTGGTTATTACAGCTTTTCCTACTTGCTTTTATTGATACATTTAGTATTCCAATGCTATGTGGTGATAATTTTGTTGATTGAAAAGAAAATATTTTTCTTTGCATTGGGGTGTGTGGATTTGGATTTGACCTTTCGTGTGAATGAACCACCCATCCTCATGGATTCAAATGATGCATAGGAAAAGACTAATTATGAGCGATATGAGCAATCTAATGCTTAAGTTTAATGCTCATAAAGTCTCATGTAAATGAGAGTATTAGGGGTTTAATTCCCGAATGCTCTAAGGCAAAAGATTTCTTGAAGGCCATAGAGGAATAATTTGTTCATTCCGATAAGGCATTAGCTAGTACCTTAATGAAAAAGTTTTCCGACAAGTCATTTTACTACTCTAAAGGTGTGTGCAAGCACGTTATGAAAATAAGGGACAACTGCTACTCAATTAAAGTCCTTAGAGGTAGAGGTTTTTGAGCCATTCTTGATACATTTCATTTTGAACTCTCTCCATGTAGAATATGATCCGTTTAAGATTTCTTACAATACATATAAGGAAAAATGGTCAATTAATGAATTATTGACCTTGTGTGTTTAAGAAGAAGGGAGATTGAAACTTGAGAAACCCGAAAGTGCTCATTTGGTTTCTTAAGCTAAAGGAAATTCCAAGAAGGGTACAAATGTTCTAAAAGTGAAGAAACATGAAAATATGCCTATAAAGCAAAATGACAATAATAGTAAATGTTTCTTCTACAAGAAATGGAGACATGTTAAGAAAGATTACCCTAAGTATCAAAAGTGGCTCGTTAAGGTAAACTCATCTCTTTAGTGTGTTAAGAATTTTTTTTATTGAAACTCCTAGTAATACATGGTGGATTGATTCTGGTTCTACAATTCATATTGTGAATACCATGCGAGGCTTTCCGGATTTAAGGAAGTTGAAAGGAAATGAAGAAGGCATCTATTCAGGAAATCAAATGCGCTCTAAAGTTAAAAGCTGTGAGAATCTTTAGATTAATTTTAAAATCTGAATTTATTTTGAATTTGAAAAATGTCTTTTATGTTTCATCATTTTCTAGAAATTTTATTTCGGTTTCCAAACTATGTAGTATTGGCTATGGATTTTTATTTAATGAAAACATTTTTAGTATTTTGAAAAATAAAATTTCTATTGGTGGTGGAACATTAATTGATGATTTATATAAAATTGATCTAGACCCCACTTTTGAGCTCAACTATTTATCAATGCATGTTAATATAGGTATTAAAAGGAGTAAAATTGATGAGAATTCCTTCACATTGTGGCATAGGAGATTAAGTCACATCTCCATTGAAAGAATTAAAAGATTGGTGAATGATGGAGTTTAAAACGCTCTTGATTTTACTGATTTTGGTATTTGTGTGGATTAGATAAAGGGAAAGCAAACTAACAAGACCACTAAAGGTGCCACAAAAAGCTCAAAAATTTTAAAAATCATACACACTAACATATATGGATCGTTTAATACTTCTTACCTAAATGGTCGGAGATATTTTATCTCATTCATCGATGACCATTTTAGATTTATGTATCTTTATCTTTTACATAATAAGGTTGAAGCACTTGATGCTTTTAAGACCTTTAAGGTTGAGGTAGAGAAACAAAAGAAAAAGGCCATTACGATTGTAAGGTCCGATAGAGGTGGAGAGTATTATGGTAGGAACACCGAAAAAGATAAATGCCGAGTCCATTTATAAAGTTCTTTAAAGGAGAGGGCATTATTGCATAATATACAATGCCCGGCACATCACAACAAAATGGTGTAGCTAAAACAAGGAGTCGTACTCTTATGGATATGGTGAGAAGCATGATTTGTAATTCTAATTTACCATTATCCTTATGGAGTGAAATACTAAAGATTATTGTGTATATTCTAAATAGAGTTTCATCTAAGACTGTCTCTAAGATAACTTTTGAATTATGGAATGGATGGAAATCTAGTTTAAATCATACACATGTATGGGGTTGTCTCGTTGATGTAAGGATTTATAATCCTCAATTAAAAAAATTAGACCTTAGAACAACCAATGGATATTTCATTAGTTATGCAAGAAACTCTAAAAGATATAAGTTTTATTGTTTTTCTCACAAGTACAAGAATAGTAAAGGAAACAAATGCTAAATTTCTTGAGGATCTCAACTTTAGTGAGAGTGATTTTTCTCGAAAAATAAAATTTGAGAAAACACAAAATTCAACTATGTTGTATAAAGATACAAGATAATTGATTATTGTTTAAGAAAATCAATGAGATAATATTGAACAACAACCAATTCCTAAGCAACAAGTTCAAGAGTAACTAGCTTTTGATGAGATAAACCTATATGAAGATGTTGAATTGAGAAGCTTTTCAAGAATAAGAAGACCAAGTAATTTCTAATGACTATGTTGTATACCTTCAAGAGTTTGACTTTGATGTTGGACTTAAGAATGATCCAAACTCATTTTCACAAGCCATGAATGGAGAAAACTCTAATTTATGATATAATGTCATGAAGGAAGAAATAGAGTTTATGCATAAAAATCAAGTTTGGGACCTCGTCGAATTACCAAAGGGATCTCGTAGCCATTGGCTGAAAATGGGTTTATAAAACCAAAAGAGATTCTTCTAGTAATATTGAATGATATAAAGCTAGACTTATGACTAAGGATTATACCTAAAAGAAAGGCATAGACTATCATGAGACTCTTTTCCTCGTCTCTAAAAAGAATTCATTCATAATAATAATGGCATTAGTAACTCATTTTGACTTGGAGCTACATTAGATAGATGTGAAAACAACATTTTTAAATGAAAATTTGGATGAAGAGGTATACATGAATCGACTCGAAGGTTTTTATGATGATACAAATAGCCACTTAGTTGTAAGCTAAAAAGATCTATATATGGGCTAAAGCAAGCCTTCCAACAGTTGTTATATTAAGTTTCACAATGTTATTATCTCATATGGTTTTATTGAGAACATTGTTAATCAATGTATATATCTTAAAGTTAGTGAGAGCAAATATATTTTTCTTATCTTCTATGTAGATGATATTTTGCTTGCATGTAGTGACTTAGGTTTGCTTCATGAGACTAAACAATTTCTTTCTTAAAAATTTGATATGAAGGATTTAGGTGAAGCCTCTTATGTTATTGGCATGAAGATTCATAGAAATAGATCTAAAAAAATATTAGAACTGTCTCAAAAAGCCTACATTGAAAAAGTCATGAAAAGATTCGGGATGTCAAATTATGCATATTCGGTAGTACCCATTGTCAAAGGGGATAAATTCAATCGAATCAATGTTCACAAAATGCATTAAAAAATGAGTAGATGGGTAACATTCCTTATGCATCCGCAATAGGCAGTTTGATGTATGCACAAGTTTATATAAGACCTAACTTGGCATTTGCAATAGGAATGCTAGGTAGGTTCCAAAGCAATCCCGGAATGGACCATTGGAAAGTCTGCTAAGAAAGTCATGAGATATCTATAAGGAACTAAGAATTTTAGATTGACTTACGGTGCATACTAATCACCTTAAGGTGGTTGGTTATTCGGACTCGAATTTTACCGATTGTGTAGACATAAGAAAGTCTACTTCAAGATACATTTTTCTTCTGTCGAAGGAGTTGTGTCTTGGAGAAGCATTAAGCAAACTATTGTTGCTTCATCTACTATGGAAGCGGAATTCATTGCATGCTATGAAGCAACGACATAGGCTATTTAGTTAAGAAATTTGATTTCCGGTCTATAAATTGTTGGTTCCATATCAAGAACAAGTAAAGATTTATTATGACAATTCGACTCGTAGTTTTCTTCTCTAAAAATAATAAAAATGAAAGCCAAAATAAGCATATCGACATAAAGTATCTCATTGTGAGAGAGAAAGTGAAGGAACATGAAGTACTCATTGAGCATATTAGCACCGAGCTAGTGATTGCGGATCCTATGACCAAAGCATTGTTGGTAAAACAATATAGAGATTATGTAGATCGTATAGGTCTAGCTAACCCATTTATTGTTTGACTTCATTTTCTTTTATTGATTGTCTAGACATTTTTAAAGTTGTTCTTGGAGATTGGTGTGATTTTTGTGCACATAAAGTATTAATTTTATATTCATTTTGATATATAAAGTTGGACTCAAATGACTTATTGAAAGTTCATTCATAAATTTTATTTGCTTATTAAGTGCTTGTTTTAAGGATGTAATATATTGTAATACATAGAAGGAAATGCTTAGTTATAATACATGACCGTTATGATTCATATATTGTATTCTTAATTTAAGCATGAGTGTTTTCACTAACTAATCATTCTAGACTCTATAAAGAAATTATCATTTTTTGAAGTGTCATATGGGCCAAATGGGAGAATGTGAGAAATATTCCTATAATGTGGCCTATGTGTCATGTTTTGTTTTAAATTTATAAGTGACAATTTAAAAACTTAGAGCCTAATAGACTTTAATGGTGGGCTAGACACATCCATGATGGATGGAGGTGCAAAATTAGGTTAAAGAAAGAGTTTATAGTCTAGCCATATAAATAGTAAGTAAAGCTTGTGTTTTTCATCAACACATAAAACCCTAAAGTATTGGCATAGACTAAAAGGCTATCTCTCCTCGAGGCTCCAGCTTTCTTTCAATAATATCTTGAGCACTTAATCAATCATAGTATGAGGTATGTATTCTATTAATTTTCGCTACGCTTATATGCTTAGACATATTTAATTATCTTATACTCTAAGCAGTAAAAACACGCAAGGATTTTTGTTTTTTAATTACATTTGTAATATTTTATCAACTTAATTAAGTATGTTATTTATTTGATTGAAAATAATTTAACATATTTTGAATTACATTGTAAACTTGTATTTAAATATGATGTTAAATGATTATTTTTTTTAATTGTATTTTTTATATGAATTATTATCTTTTTGCTATAGTTTAAAATTTCTTACAAACTGATATGAAGTAGAATGTAGTCGATAAGTATAAAGATTTAAATGAGGTACCGATGCCCTATAGGAAAGGAGATGATAGGAGAAATATTATCTCGAGTGGAGCACGGGATGAGGACGAGGTGGGGCTTTTAGGGGCAGGTAGTGGCAGGGATGGCCATCCCGGCCCCGCCCCATTGCCATTCCTATTTACCAGCAAGAAAAATTTCGCTTATAAATTATAATGATCCAAGGCATAAACTCTTATGGAACGCAGGCCATAACAGCCAATATTCAAACCGGCCCATAACAGGATAGATGGTTTGTAGAGACTTTTCTTTTCTAGGAAAAAAACTGTAGAAGAGTTTCTTTCCTTCTTATTTTTTATAAGACTTGGTTAGGGATATTTGGCATTTGTTATAACCTTTTTAGACATGTAAAAGAATATTGGTTAGGCTGTTTCCTTCGTTGTTGTTCTTACTTTTTGGTTGCATGTTTGTACTTTGTGGGCAAATAAATGCATTTGAAATTCGAATGACGGACATAGTTCTGATACGTCCGGGAATGGTGAAAGTGTTTTTAGAAGAAGGGTTTTACTTTTAACTTTTCTTTTCATGAAGTTTCCTCAACTTTTAAATAATGAAGTTGTTTAGTTATTTAGATACCCTGTTACCTTTGAGAATATAATTATCAAATATCTGTATACATATATTTTTCCTATATTCACCCGGCTTATCAATATAATTTCATAAACAAAAGAGTGAATTTTCCTTTTTCATTCATCAGAGGCAGATGGACCTCTGGACTTCGCAATGGAGTATAGCTTTTTTTCATTACATAATTTAAATAAATAAAATAACTAGTTTTCGAATTTTATTTCACTAAACAATCTATTGGATACACAAATCGATAGGCTAAATGTTGTTTGTGTCAAAAGACTGAATTTTCATCGACAAAATCATCAAAAAATAAAATAAAAAATAAAAAATGCCCTTATCGTTTACATGTAGAGTGTAGATTGTAAACAATTGGTGATTGGGTCATCTTTTGAACAGCAGTACCACCGGAAAGAACACTTGCACGCAGGAAAGTGGGAGTATCGACAAAACGAGTCATCTCTTCTATGGATTCCATGTTTAGTTCGCGGCACAGAATAAAATTGCATCTGATGCTTTAATCCTTGTCATGCATAGGTAACTATTCACCATACTCAGGAATTGTACTCCTTTCTCACTCATTAAAATGGGGTCTCTTCACTTAAACTGAGATCAGTAGAAAGAAATTAGAAAAGCCAAATGATGTATCATGCTTGCGTTAAGATGGCATTCAACACTAACTTGGATATCAACGGCCTGGATCACATTAACAGGTGAAAGAACCACTGTCAATTAGTTTCCTTACTGATCTGATAAAGAAGTTACTTTGTCTAGCAATTCCTTGACAATTTCCTCTATTAACAAGTTATAACAGACAAAGGATGATCAGTACCCTTTCAGCAATTAAACGTGGCCATCCTTTGACTTGCGTTCATCCTGAATTTTATGTTAAGAAAATTCTCACCATTAAGTCAAAGCACAGAAAGAGAAGCATAGTAACGAAAAGAAATTACAGTGAACAATCATTATGACATGTAATTAGAGGAAATAGACATTGTCCTTAAATATGCCAAACAAGTCTCCATACTAAGAAAGTATCATAACTGCACAGTGTACAAATGAAGTAACAACAATTTACAGTAAATAGACTGCAGATTTTTCTCAAAGACACAAAGCCTCACCAATAAAGTTTGCAAAACTGAAGTTAATGGGCATAATAGCATTTGCGTTTCAAAACCAGCTTACACTTTCCAATTGAGGAATACTGGGGATAAAGAACTAGACATATCTATGAATATCCATTAATGGTAGAAAAGCTTGATGTATTGGATGCACCAAGGAAACCAAGGAACAGATCGACAACATCCAGATACAGTGAGATTGTAGCCCAAATGTACTCATCATGGCTGAAACGCTTGATCAAGTTGTCAGTGTCATATATGATGTAACCACAGAATACGATTGCAGCCAAGGAACTATATATCATTGCTAACAACTTCCCGAGAGGGAAAAGTATCTGCATTGAAATATAACAGATGAATATAAGTACAAGAGGAAAGTGTCAAAGAGAGACGCAACAAGATTAATTTATAAAGCCCAGCAACCTGAATGAACCCACGAACAATAAGCATTAGGAGAGCACCAAATAACAAGGGTCCGGAGAAGTTGAAATCATGGCCTCTTTTCACAGCCCAGAATGAATAGAGAGCTAGACTGATGACCCCAGCACTTGTCGTAATTGCTGCTTCCAAAATGATCCTCATTGTTGGAAACAAACGAATAACCTTTTTCCTTAAACATAAAGGGTTTTTTGTGTGAAAACAGATCATAGGATAGAACTGCTAACAGAGCAACTGGTTATAGAAGGACTAATATCCCTAAACAAGCTAGTGATTCATGTAAACAATTACAATAGTTATGATGTCAAAGCATGCCATAAGAAATAAAAAATCAGATTATTAAGCATATAATCTTCTAGATATATTTTCCATGGATGTGAGGATGCTGGTGGCTGAGTCAAGCGGGGATGGGAGAAGCAGGGTGGAAATTAAAAAACTTTTTAGTGAATAACTTGCATTATGGTTTTCAACAGTGAGTGAGTAGCTTCTTTTCTGGGATATTTTCTTCAGCAAGCAAGTTATAGCCTTTCCTAAACAATCAGTTGTTACTCGTTACACAAGATTAATAGAGATCAGCATTACAAACTCTATGCAGTCCTGTCTCTACTGGATGTGAAGAACCAGTGTCAAATACGGCAGTGGCATTACTAGTAGTAAATGTGAACTCCACATTTTCAAATATAAGACAAAATATCACAACCTTAAAGCGCAAATGCATCTTCCATTGCAGAATTGCAAGAATGATGAGTAGAACAAAGCTTAAACAACTACACCAAGACTCTTGCTATGGGCTGACATCAACACATAATCGTGACAATCAAGATACAAGTTCTGATCATACATTTACGAATGCCAAATTCTTCTTTCAAACAGCACCCAAAGACCGAACAATATCCAATAGCTTGAACAAAATTACAGTTACGACCGAAAGAAAGTGTCTAATTAAAAGCCAAGGTCTTCGAAAACAATAGAAAACAGAATCACAGAACCTCAAGGGCAGTTGTTTGGGAAATGAAAATGGCAAAAACTTAGGCATGAAATAGTCCATCGGTAGGATCTTAAGACTTGAAAACCATATTGAGAACTTCCAAATATGCTTCTAATATTTAATTTACATTACATTGTGCCTTGCCTAGTTAATACGATGTTTGAAAAACACACAGATAAGGAAATTAGGCGACTGATTTATGCCCTTTTTAACTCAGCTAAGTAAAGTTCTTGTCACTCGACTAGAAAAAAATTTATAGATCTCATTCAGGTATGCTCACAATTGATTTCCCTTCCATCAAAAACTTTTCTCATAGAAAAGAAAACGTTTTATTAGCCACAAGCCAACCTCTGTTTTGTAGTAAAGAAAACTGAGAGAGAAAAACAAAGGATTAGTTGGGTTTGAACCACACAACACTTGAATATTAATGAATAGATTCATCCACAGATAAGAAGTAATTCCAATCATTCTTAAAACATCAATTTAACATAGAAAAAAGAAAAAAACAAAGAAAGAGTATCGGTTACATTGCTGCGATTATTTATACCTTTAATGTGGGCACAATAAATTCCAACACAAAGCGCATTGGAAATAGTGAACAGCGCGAGAAAAAGAGAGTTACATGGCTGATGCTTGTGATAAGCAAACAGTGGCCAAAGCACAGCAATTACATTAGCAACAACAATATTAAAACCAAATGATGGTGGCTAATTATGCAGTAATAATAATAAGTGAAAGCAGGTTGCACTAACTCACGTATTACAGTAAGGATAAGGGAGGTGATGCGGACGGCAAGGCCAGGCTTGGTGTGGAGAACAAAATCGGAGGCCGGATGGACAAAAATAACGGAGGAAGGAACGGCAAGAGTGGGAAGCAATTGCATGGAAATGATGGAGTACAGTTTCCTTATGAAGGCCCAGCGTGGTTGTGGATCAGAATCAAGGTACACTTGTTGTTTTTATTGTTGTTGGCCATCTGCAGTAGTGGCGGCGGGGAACGGGATACCATAATTACCAGCTTCAATATCAACTACTGCTTTGTTATCAGGGGAGCCATTCTTTTCAATTAATTTTCTGTTTTAATTTTACTATAAAGGTGGCGAAGGTTGTTTGGCAGGAGATAAAATGACAAGGAAAATAAATAAAGGGTTTTTTTTTTTTTTTTTTTGGAATTTTATCGAGAGAGAAGAGTCTAGAGTGGTTGTTTTGTTTTGTAGCTAGGGGATTAGTTCTCTATTGGTATTGGTTTTCGGGCGAGGAGAGGAGTACTGCTGTTCTACTACTGCCACTGCATGTGGTTTGTTGCTGGTTTAGTGGGCCGAATTTGTTTGAAAGAAAGGAGACTCCATTTTGTCTTCATTTCGCTGCGGTGCTAGTAATTCGAAGTTCAAAATCAAAACTGATTTCATTTTATTTTTATTTGAACTCGTTTTCTAAGTTTATTACCAAGATAATAAGATTAAAAAACTGGCATTCTGAGTTTTTGCTTCTGCGTTTTAGCCATAATTCTTAAAACTAGTACTGTATTGTAATTGGTTCTCATATTTTGATCAACGGAACTAGAATATTTCCCTATCAATAATTTCTTTTTTTATCTCTGCTGTGAGTAGATTCGATTTGAGATCAATTTATACCCGAACCGTGTCCACAAGGACCAACCCAGGAGTGAAGACTAATTGGAGCCAATTCTTTTTCTTTTTCCTCCTTAATTAGAATAGCAGAATTTGTGTGTGTGTGTGTGTATATATATAAAGAAATACTATCATTCTAGAGACATATAAACCATATGTATGCATCAGTTTTTCAAGGGAACGATAGGAAACATTCAACGCTCAACATCAACTGCTGATGCATAGGGGGCTGGGCTGGATCATATTTGCAGGTCAATAAGCCACTGCCAACTATTAATTACTTTACCTGCATGCATGTCAGGTGAGGCTTCTTACCTAGCTAGCAATTTCCCAGTAAATTTCTCAACCAGCCATCTGTGGTAACAGGCGAAAAGATGGACCACCCTTCTTTTCTGCAACCAAACCTGACAAGTCTTTGACTTGTCTTCCTTCTGACTTTTATGTTCACAAAAGTCTCACCCAAAAAGCCAAGCACGTAAACGAAGCATAGAGAAGAAGGAGAATACAAGAGTTGTGGAGAATGCAACTTGCATTTGATACCAAATAAGAACTCGTTTCAATCATAGTATCAGAATACTACAGGCAGACTATACATCAAGAGAGTTCAGAAAGGCATAGTGAATTGCTAGTTTAGAAGACTAAAGTCATAAGTAGGCTATATATACCTGCTAGCTATACAATTGCGGAACCAAAGATGAAGGTAAGAGGAGCAGAAGAGGAGTCTAGCTGTCAGCTGCACTGAATATATTGAGGAGAGCAAGGAATAGGTTTAAAATATCCAGATAAAGGAAGATTGCAGCCGAGATGTATTCGTCATAACTGAAACGCTTGATCAAGTTGTCGGTGTCATATACGATGTAACCAGAGAATACTATCGCACCCAAGCAACCATATATCATCAATGACCACTTTCCAAGAGGGAAAAGGAACTGCATTGAAATTTAATGTACTCGTTTAAATATAAATATAACTGCGGAATTAATGAGAGACAAAAAAAGTTAGATTAAGGTTATAAATATAAAGCAATGCATGCATACCTGAATCAACCCGAAAACAATAAGGACTAGGAAAGCACTAAACAGAAAGGGTCCGAGGAAGCTGAAATCATGGCCTCTTTTCGCAGCCCAGAAGGTATATAGAGTTAAACCAACAACCACAACACTGGTCAGAATTGCTGCCTCCAAAACGATCTTACCTGTCAATACCATACAGCAAAATAGTGAAAAACCATTAATTCTTTGCCCTGTAACTTCATATACTGGTTGTCAAGCACTTGACTAGACAATTCGAGTCGACAGTCAAATTAATGTACAAGGTGTGAGTCAACAAGGAGAAAGAAACAATTAATTGACCAATTTTCAGAATTATTTTTCCCGAGTTGCAACTTACTCATTTTGGAGTTAAAATGTCAGGCCATGTGAAATTAATGCTTGAATGTGATAGGCTGATTGACCAGTCAGTACTCAGATGACAGAGATCAAAGTTTTTAAACAATTAGCAATAGTTATGTTGGAAGACATATATTGGTGTCCAACCTGTACCCATTTTAAAGTACTCTCCATCATCTCTTGAGTTTTGGCAAATAGGTATTAGATTTCTAACATTGCCATAAGAAAAACACACGCACATACTATAAATAAAAAGAATACAACCAAGCAACTATTTTCAAAGAAAATCTTTTGCCTGAATAACTATCTTGACCTAAACGATCTGTCAGTACTGAGATCAAGGTTGCTACTACCATATATGCAATCCTGCCACTAGATTATCGTAAACAACCAATTTTCTAATTCCATTGATGAATAGCAGAAATATTCTTACTATGGCTTGACTAACCCGTTCAACTACGACTATTGTGATACATTTAGCATTGTGATTCTACGTTTATAATTGCCAGATTCTTGCCATAAACATCAGGACCAGGCACACACTAAGCACCCAATAGTTTGATTAAAATAAAACTTATGACAAAAATCCAAGTATCAGGATCTACTTAAGATAAGGTCACCAAAGGTCGCATAAACAAATTAAAATCACAGTGCTGGGGATCAAATGGAAATGGCAAAAGCTGATGCTTGAACAAGTCAATCAACAGGATCTGAGACATTAAAGTCACAATGAGTAAATACAATGTGGCTAGCCGAATGTCAACAAGACAAGCATAAGGTAATTAAATAAATAATTAATTTATGTTCTCCCAATTTACAATACGCCTCAATTAGATAAATTAGATCATTACTTCTATACTTTATGTTGCATTGGATTGATGTCTCCAATGAGCATTTTCTCTGAAGAAAACTTTTCAATGGAACTAGTGCGGTCATAAACCTCTTTTCGATTGCAAAAGAAAACATTATTTTGAATTTTACTGACTAAAATTAAAAGGAAATTATAACAAAAAGGAAATCACACGACAATTTGATCAAAACAAAGATGATCCAGAAAAAATTAAAAAACCGACGAAATTACCCCAAAAGAAACAACTTTCTGTCCACGGAAAAATAATGGGGATACTGCGATTATACCTTTTGTGAGAGCACAAGACAAACCAATGGCAAACACAAAGCAAATAGTGAATAGCGCCAGAAGAAAATAATTCAATGGGTGACGCTTGTGAAAAGTATGCAACAGGCAAATCACTGCATTAACAACAACAACCAACAAAAAGTTATTCACAAGAGGAGCGCGGGGGCGCGCGGGGAGACCCACAGTTTCATTAGTACAAAATCACAGAAATAATTATAATAAAAACAAAATGTACCGTTTCACCAATAACCCAGAATTAGATCGAAATCCTTAGAATCAAAAGACGAATGAGATAACCAAAAAAGTACATACGTATCAAGGCAAGAATGATGGAGACGATGAAGACGGCAAGGCCAGGCTTCGTATGGAGAACGAAATTGGAGATAGGATGCACAAAGACGACGGTAGCGGCAACACCAACAGTGAGAAGCAATTGCATGGAAAGTATTATGTAAACTTTCCTGATAAAAGCCCAGCGAAACTGTGGTGGCTCTAGCATCATTGGGTACAGTTGCTCGCTCGTACCACCCTCAACGTCAGATCCTTTCTTATTGTTAAGTGCCATTTTGCGTTTTTGTTTTGGGTTACTATGTACCACAAAAAGGTGGTGAAGGAGCAGAAATTGGGTGTTCGTACTTTTTCTTGTTTTTTATATGTTTTTTATGGTGGTGGAGTCGTGTGAGAGAAGAGAAAGAGAGGGAAATGTGAACGAAAAATAAAAGGGGTTTTTTGTTGTTCTTAATTTTGTGAGCTTTGGATTTTATAGAGAGGAATTATTTGCCTGTTAGCTAAGGGATTTGGTTCTCTATTAATTTGGCACTTCACGCGTTTGCGATTTTTATGGACAGGACGAGAGATCGAGGAGACTGGAGACGTGGTTTTTGAGTACTGCTAATTAAATAATTACTGAAGTTTGCACGGGATTCATTTTGGTAGTTAATTTTTTTCGATTTAGGTATGTATATATATATATATATATATGGACCTTTTATTCATCTAATTAAGTTGTATTTGGGCAACGGACAAAGAGTCTAATTTAGCATAATTTTTTATATTATATCTTCATCCTATTTTTTAGTATTTAAAACTTAATGAAAATATTAAGAAAATATTTTTTTATTAATGAATTATTCCGGAGACTTGTTTAAGATCTAAATAGATGGACTTAAATTTATATGCGTCAAAGTGGACCTCTCACCGCAAATTAAGATTTAAACGAAAAATATGATTCTTGATTTATAAAATTCTAAAAAAAAACAAAAATAACGGTTGTTTATGAAATTACATTATAATTTTTTTCCGGCCCCAAATTTTAACAACAAAGAAAATGGTTTAAGTTATTCTTGGGTAAATTACACTCAGCACCCTATAATTTGACCTAAATAACACTTTGCTCCTACTGTTTTACATATTTCGACGCCAGAAGGGTTAGGACTTGGGAGGTGAGTTTTACTTGGACTCTTTGACTGGGTTACCATGGTGCCAACTGCCACCACTGTAATCTTGTCCAAATACGGCCCATGGCATTCTGAGCCCAACACTGAATAACTAGGAGGGCCATAGATCCACTAGTCAACGAACCCCAACTGAAGTATCCAATTGTAGGGACACGACTCTTTCTCGTATAACAAGGCCATATAAAGGCCACACAAACAACTTATCCCTTGGCACATGAAAAGTTAGAAAGAAAAGGGGAAAAGCCTGATACAGAAACCATGTCTTCCTCTTCCGCTGTTGCAACTGTTACTACTAATGTGTTCGAGGTTGGGAAATACACAACAGTGCTTCAAAAAGTAGAATCAAGAAAAACATGCTGTGCCGAAAACACTTCACCTCCACTTCCTGCTCCGCCTCCAAAGCCACTCTTGATTGCTATGCCATGTGAAGAAGGGGAATTCCCACTTCTTGTTTTCCTCCATGGTTACCTTCTTTACAATTCTTTCTACTCCCAGCTCCTGCAACATATTGCTTCTCATGGGTTCATTGTCATTGCTCCTCAGGTATTTCTGTATATATATTACTCTCTCTTCTTGGTATCTTCTTTGTGATCATATATAGGGTCTTAGCAAAATTTTGATGCAGACATGTTTAATTATGATTGCAAGTCTTTTAGATTCAAAGGCTCTAAATTTGCTGTTGCAGTTGGATGCAATTAGCTTTTTGAGATACTTTCAATCACATTGTGTTATATGGACTGTGAATTGCAAGTGTGACGAATTTCGGGTGGGGGATACTGTTCTTCTAGTAGCCAGAATTAATTTCTTCAGTAAAGCAGAATTTCTCAATAAATAACAAATAAAGATTACGATTAGATACTGTGTTCTGATCCAAATTAAGATCATTTGGATGTTATTAAACGTTTCATCTATTTTCATTTTGGTATGCAACTCTTGGCTTCTTTTTTCCCGAATTAAAACAGAGGGTATGATATTTTCCTGAGTTACGTACTATGTGTTGCTATAACTACTACATTCTTTTCTGCAAGAATTTTTAATTTTTAATTTTAGGATCCCACAAATTATCATTCTCAAGGGAGGAAAAAAAAAAAAAACTTTATTTCCCAAAGAAGCTATGGTGTCACGCCATGACATGTTGGTCCCCCAAGTAACTTGGTCCTGAAGGAAAATTTTATGGCCTATTAAACGACTCTCAGCAGCATCTTGATGTGATTGATGATAGATGAGCCAGAATGGTCGAGATATTTTATCCTTTTCTCCTAATGCTTGTATTTCCTTTGTCTGAATTGTTTTCAGTCTTCACATATACCCCATCCCGTTTATAAGTGTCCCTGTCTTTCACATTTAAAGCGACACTTCGAATCAACTTCTCAATTTTCTCTAGCCCTTCATATTTAAAATTTTGTATCATGCAAACGTTTCAAGATATTGGATTTTCCGCTTTAAATTTTAAGTCCCCGTATTTGGCAACTCATGTCTTGCTTTCTTTCTATAATTCTATTAGATGGGTAAGTTAATTATGGGGTTAAAGAAAGGTCAGGAGTGGGATACGATCGAATTCCTAAAGTAATTTGACAAAATGTTGTACTTCATATGAACTAACATTGCATATGGGCATAACAATCTCTATAAAAAAAAATTAAAACCATAGTATAGATACATATACTACAAAAAATATGTACTTGAGTTTTGTTTCTTCAGTTGCATAAATTAGTGTCTTTGTCGCATGATGCTTACCTATTGATCTGTGTTCATTATCAAAAGCAACAAAAGGGGCAAAAGAAAGAAAGAAAAAAAAAAAAAAAAGAATTTTTAGTAGCACTGCTTTGTTACTTATCGCATCTTTCTTCTCTACACTCGACAGTTATATCTTGTGGCTGGACCAGATTCTAGTGATGAAATAAAATCTCTGGCTGCAACCACAAATTGGCTACCCGAAGGATTACAGCACCTACTTCCACCCCATGTCAAACCAAATCTAAGCAAGCTATGCCTCGCGGGCCATAGTCGAGGTGGCAAGACAGCTTTTGCATTAGCTCTTGAGAAAGCAGCCACCACATTAAAATTTTCAGCACTAATTGGTGTGGACCCAGTTGATGGAATGGACAAAGGCAAACAAACCCCTCCGCCAGTACTCACATATGTACCTCGTTCGTTTGATCTTGACATGGCAGTTATGATCATTGGTTCGGGCTTGGGTGAGCTGAAAAAGAACCCAATGTTCCCTCCTTGTGCACCTAAGGGTGTTAATCACGAGGATTTCTTCAAAGAATGTAAGAGGCCGGCTAGTTATTTTGTTGTCAAGGATTATGGACATCTAGATATGCTGGATGATGATACTAAAGGGGTTAGAGGAAAAGCTACATATTGTCTGTGCAAGAATGGGAAGTCCAGGGAGTCAATGAGGAGATTTATTGGAGGGGCTGTGGTTGCATTTATGAAAGCATACTTGGGAGGTGATAGCAGTGACTTAATGGCGATTAGGGAGGGGCAGACCGGACCGGTGGAGCTTCAAACTGTTGAATTTTTACTCTGAAAATCAGATGATCTGAGCTCCAGGCAGCCTGTGTTGAAACAAATTCTCTCCAATTTATGGATGTTAATAACTTGTTCTGTAAGGATTAATGATGGTAGCAATTTGGCTTGTGATATGGATTTTGCAACGAATTTGAAGCTTCTGCAACAAAAATTGCCCGCTGAGACCATCTTCTAGATACGCATGCCTGTGTCAAGTTCTGTGTTTTTTATGGGCTTTTTAGTTTTGGGCTATTTTGGTCCTCAACAAACGTAAGAGAGTCCAACCTATTATTGATATAATAGCAAGCTTTTACGATGAACATTAGTATGTTTTTTGTGTATGCCCAACAATTCTTTTTCTTTTTCTTTTTTTCTATTATAATATAGCGTTGAGGATTCATCCATGAAAAGATCTAAAACCATGGAGCAAGGTTTGTAGTTTGATTTGGAGACAACATTATAATCAAAGGCAGAGATGCTCACTGAAAAAACTAATAATGTGCTATAATTGCTTAAATTTCTTAATCTGTTAATTTATAGTGTGGAATTGGATAATAATGGTTTGGTTAATTAGCTTGTGTGTTTTGAATGCGGAGCTAATGCTAGACGACCATATAAAATTTTGAAAACTTATGCTTAACGCATTCACTGTCCACATGCTTTTTATGTCGCTCCTGATGAGTGGTGAAAAGCTTTGGTAATTGTTTCTTATTGCGTCAAATTGGTTTCCTTGTTATGCTATGTAAAAAACTGCAAATTTGGATCACTAATTTCGATTAATTTTCTATTGAGTATTCAATCTTTAATGTTATATATTTGAATTCCTCGATTTCATTTCATTTTATTTTTTAAACACTGTACCCGCGTTTATTTTTAGGTGAGTAAATTATAAGTAGTTTTTATTAAAAAATTATTATTATTATTATTATCTGCTGTATTTTAAAAACTAATTATTTAATATTTTGATTAGAATTAATTATATTTAATTTAATATTATTTTATTTCAAACAATGTCGTATTTTGTTATCAATCATTCCATTTTTTTAATACAAAAACTCAAAATAAATTGAAAAAATAAAAGAAATTAAGTTATAAGAAAATTTTAAAATATAGAGAATGAATAATTAATTTTTAAAATAAAAAGGCTAATTAATACATTTCTAGAAACTAAAAGGACTAATTTATAATTTATTTATTTATTTTTTTTTAAGATAGTGATTCAGTTAATTAATGTATAGCTTCAACGAGAAAAAATGTTTTCAAGATGACCTTCTTGTTACTGTTGGCACGACATGGTACAATTCACTGGACGTTTCTGTGGATATAAGTCAAAAGTAATTAATTCTGGCCACAGCCCTCACTCAACAAGAAAACCATCTTTACGGGGTTGTTGGGTGAAATGACCTGCTTCCCTCGTCACCTGTAAGAAGTTTTACTTTATCGCCATTCACAGGCTTTTAAAATAAAATTTTATATTCCATTCAAACGGAACTTTCGACTTTTTAATTATAAAACATAATACATGGACTCCACTTGCTTACAATACCTCCTGTTTGCAGCCGATCGGTGCGAACAAATTTGTATCAGCCTTGATTATCCTTCCATGGTTTAGGAAAACCAATGTTCAATGAAATTGAAATGAAAAGCATAATTATAAACTGAAAGGAAACCTTCTGACCAATTACATACGTATTTAGAATTACATAGGTAATATATCTTTATAGTATAATTCAAGGTCCGAAAAATTTTCAATAAACCTAAAAAAAGTTATATATATTCTAGAACTAACATGCAATAATATGTTACCTTTTTTCCGGTAACAAGGTGCTGTTAATTTATTTAAGTTTTACACTGAAAAAATTAAAGGATTCAACTTCTAAGTAGTAGTTCGTTGTTAAACAAGCATCGAGTTATAAATTAGGTCTAAAATTCAATTCATGTAGTTAATAATTTTAAAATTTTATTTTTAAAATATATGAGATCGTGCATTAAGAAATGTCTATTAACTATGTTCAAAAAATAATTAATCTCGAGATATATAAAAACGAACTTGAAAACATTCTTATTGTGGAACAAAGAAAAAAAATTAAATGATTTGATCTGTTCTTATATAATTAAATAATTTTTTAATATGTTTTTACATTTTTAATTGTATGTAATGTCACTGGATAATATATAATTCTCTCTCTCTCTGTTTTTTTTTTTTTGGTTAAGTTTTTCCATTCAATATATTCTTCATTTTGAAAATATCCCTGAAATATACATGAATATAATTTTAATTTTTTTTTTTTAAATGTATTTGTTAGAATTTTAATGGTTGAGTAATTTTTATTTAAAAAAAATTGATTAATTTTTCTACTATATTGGTATATGATTCGTAGGGCATTTTTTGAATAAAAAATACGATTCTATTTATAAGGTAACGTATTAGAGAATTATATATTATACAATTTGAAAACATAATAATATATTAGAAACTTGTCCAATTATGTAAAACCAAATATAATCATTTATTCAAAAATAAAAACATGCAACAACTTAACATTTTCTTGTCGTTCTATTGGCTAAAGCAGTTGCTGATGCAAGTAGAATGGGCGTGCTGTGCAAGCTCAGGTGAGATCTACACAATTTGTAATGCACTTGCAATTTAAAAAATGAGTCAATAATATCCGGTTACCTTTATTTTCATTTTCATTTCCTTATCCAGTTCTCAAGCGAGCAGCTATTGTCAATTTGGGTTTGACTATTTGTCCTTATTTACGTATATAGTGAGGACATGATAAGTGTAAATATTGCAATAAAGAGAGGTGTTAGGTTTAAATTCCACTATTGATTTCCTGGAGAATAGATATATCTATTTTGAATTAACCTATTTAACAAGATACAGTGAAGATGTCTATATACATAATGAATAAAAGAAAAAAATTAACGACATTGAAGAAAACAAAAAATAAAAACTTATACTTACTCAACGAAAGAGAGAATTAAGAAAAAAATTGATTCTAAATAAAAATATTTTTATTATTTTTTATGAGTTAAAATAATATTTTTTACACCTAATTATTTTAAAAAGAAATAGATGCACCAAGTTATCATTGTAAGCATACTACGCACGTCAAAGTTTTACACCTCCTTTAAATTTGAAGAGCGCATTCGCCGTTTGATATCGGGTCAAATGCGGTTAAAAGTGCAATAAAAAATACGAAAAGCATCAATTTATTGTTTTTTTTTTTTTTTTTTGTCCTAATGTAACGCACTTGCACATATCACCAAATCGCAAGTCTAGTCTTACACCACCTAATCAACCGGCAACCACGACAGCACTATCAAATCAAATATCGCTTCAAAGTCATTTCTCTTTATCTTGCTTTATCTCTCTCAGAGAACCCGAAGTTAAGCGAAGTTGGCAAAGATATGGGCATACGGACCAGACCTCCTTTGGGATTTGAATACGTTTTGGAGCCACTCGGCCAACGCTCCCATAATATATATTTTACAAAATAGTAGTTATTATAGAAAAAAATGGTATGGACAATAGAATTGAAAAAAAAATAAAAAAATGATTTTGTTATTAAGTAAAGTAAATATAAGTAATATTAACTCAAAACAACCCTCTCAACTCTATAAAAACATTTCTTCAACTAGTAAACAATTAATTCTATTTATAAACTTTAGAATTAGTAAAAGAATTGAAAAGAGCTAGAAAAAATTCATAAAATGTTTCACCAACCTTTCAATTTTTATATCATCATGCATGATAATAATGAATTGAATCTCATTAAACAAAATGACTAGTAGTGGGAATAAGAATAATATACATATTTATTATTTCATAACACTCTTTCTTGAATGTTCATCGTATAAGAAACATGTCTTGTTAAAAAAAAACCTAATGGAAAAAAATCCTAATAAAAGAAAAAAAAGTATAATATTTCTTATGGAAATTAATCTCCATATCCGACTCTCTCTGTTAAAAGCTTTATTTAAAACCTTTAAGAAGAAGCATTCCAATCTTGTGAATTATTTTCTTAAAAGTTATGGTAGTTAATGTCTTAGTAAAATGGTCATAGACATCCATTATTTCATAACACTCTTTTTTGAATGTTTATCGTAAAAGAAACATGCCTCGTTAAAACTTTCCCGGGAAAAAACCGAGTGAAAAAAAATCTTAATGAAGGAAAAAAAGAGTATAATATTTCTTGTACAAATTAATCTCCATATCTAGCTCTCCCTATTAAAAGCTTCATTTCGGATCTCTAAGACGACGTATTCTAATCTTGTGAATCATTTTCTTAAAAGTTATGGTAGGTGATGCCTTACCGAATAAATCTATTAGAATATCACTTTGATGTATCCTTCATTTGATTGAGTTATAGAAGCGACATTATCTTTATATAATATTGTTTTAACTTTCTTTATCGATGGATAAACCAAACATCTCTCAAACATGATAAGTCATTGATCTTAGCAAAATACATTTCTCAACTTGCCTTATGAATTGCTAGTATTCCGCATGGTTTAAAGATACAACGGTTATAGTTTACTTCATAAAACGTCATGATATAATTGTATCATCATGTGTAAAACATAATTAATTTGTGATTGCGTTTTCTATGGATCAAATAAATAATATGTATTTGCATAGCCAATTAAATTTGACTTTGATTTATTTGAGTAAAATAAATACAATATCAATTTTTTTCTCATATATAACGTAGCATATGTGTAATTCTATTCTAATATCTTCATATTGAAGCAAAACTATATCTTGTTAATAAATTTATACAAAATGTTATATCAAGCCAAGTATTATTAGTAGGATGTATTTGTAACATCCATCAATCGAGATACCTCAATCGAAGGGTCACGACCGAACGAGTCGATACTAAAACTTATATCTTTTTTATTTTCTTAAAATTAAATTCTTATTTTAATCTTATTTATCTTTAAATATCTTAATTTAAAATATGTTATTAATAATATATAATCATAATATTTTCTCATTAACATGGAGGAAGT